AGTATAACATTCTCTCATTTTAAAACGAACAATTGACTTGAAATATGCATATTTATATCATTAAAATTTTGTATTACCATAAAATAATATAATTCAAAGCAAGTAAATAAATTGTTCTTACTCCTGACACGCATTAAAATTAAATGCTTAGAAGAAAAAGCATCCTATGATATTATTTCAATATATTGAATTTTATTACAAAATGTATTTAGGCTACAACATGTAATATAATAATTGCGTTTGGTCTAGACCCTTACGAAAAAGAAAAGCTAAACTGCACCACATTTACTGTTGTCTCGACAAGACACTTCGTCCGTTTACGTTTCAAGGAAACATTTATAAATGCGAAAAAGTTTGGTACATGTGCGAAAATGAACGTACCTCCTTAACTGTTATACAGACCACGTTTGATACATTTATCCAGTTTTGAGATCGAATCAGTGTGTTATCACAAATATATCTCATACGAACTATATGAATTTCTCTAAATGCGGACGTGTCATGCATAAAAGCAATATAAATATATATGAATATATTATATATACATATCTTTTGAAAAAATTGATTTAATGTTTTTTGCTGTTTGTTCAGAGGAATTAAAAATCGGATAAAAAAAACGAGTCTTCGGACATATCGAAAAACTTCAATCTTTTTTTTCTGCTTTTCTTTAATATAAATACTTAAATAAAAATCATCATTTTTATCAAAGATTAAATTTTCAATTGTGGAAAGTGAAATAGCTATCAATTGTATGTGAGATTGTTTTACAATACAAAGAATATTTTACACGGTTCTAATGACCATTCGAGTATTCGTGAAAGAACATACATTACAAATTCGCATTTTCCTTGAAGCGCACCCTAAGAACGAATGGTCCGAAGACACATTGATATATTTAAAGAAGACAATAGATTGTACATTAAACAGTATACAACCGAAATATATCGTATAGATGTAAAAATAATAAAATTATCGGTAGTAAACTTTCTATTACATTATACGGCGTGTAATGTGTGTATAATCATTCAATTCGGTCGTTAAAAGTTCGACGAAGTAAAGGAAACTATCCCAAGCAGCTAATCCTAAGATAATGTATTTCCTTTTTTTTTTTATTTATATAACTTCTATTTATATTAGGTATGCACGTACGTGTGATAACTAAACAGATACATGATTTTTTGTGACGCAAAGACACTACCAGCTTTGCGCATTGATCAAAGAGCAGGAGGCTGTTGTACACAAAAGGAAAAGTAAAGGTTAAACATAAATAACACTTTTTTTCATAATTATTCTTCTCGCTTTGTTTGTATATAATCGTATCTGTTCAGTGAATCACCCAATCCAATTAGTTTCATTTGTATCCACTTTTTGATCAAAGAAGTATAGTTCTTCGAACATTTGTTCATTCAAGAAATGGATTCAATGAATAAATTTCTCAAAGCTGCGCTGTAGGCACGAGCAACTCTGACCTTGGGTCAAGTTTATAATGATTTCTAATAATACGAAACATTCGTATAATATCTTAATTAATTCTTTACATTTTTTATTATTATTATTGTATATATATCTCTCTCTGTATATATATATTCATTTTCCTTTTCTTAAAAGCTTGAAAAAGCGTGTTAAAAAGATCTTTCGAAAAAAAGAAGAATGGACAAAGAAAAAAATAAGGGTCTTCGTCAACATGGTTGCACATGCCTAAAAAAAAAAGCAAATCATACATTCACACATATGTAGGTACATATAAACTATGTATTTGCAAATTGCACGCCACAATAGAATAAAAAATTTTTTCCCCCTTTTAAAACTATCTTCCGATTATCTACACACGCATAACGTTAGTTTCGTTAAATTTTTCTCTCTCACTTTCTTAGAATTGGACTTAGCAGCCTCCTGTTCTCTAATATAACTATATCCAAATGTTTTATTCATTTAATATAATTATCAAGTAAAATTTGTAAAATACAATATATATACTACCTATCATAAATTCTTAATCTTTCTTTATAAATAATTATAGTAGTAGTCTTCACACCATTTGTTAATTTATTATAATCGGATGCCGTTCCTTTCGTTTTTTTTTTTTTATTTAAATATTACATTTGTGCCCTTTGCACTAATTCATTTTATAGTATTCTGTGTGACTGTGTATATATAATACATGTAATATAATCTAAAGGACTTATTATATTTACATATATACATGTAACAACGGTCCGTAGTCCGAATTTGTTAATAATCTTTTTTTTTCTTCTGATTACTACTAAGATCGACTTCTTCAACAGCAAACGTTTATCCGGGAAAGGACATCTACACACCTACGATGGATTTGGAAATAACTGTGCACGAATTTCATCTGTGAATACTAATGAGTGATTAGTTAAAATTCTGGTCAGATCTTTGAGTAATCCTTCCTCTAGCGAGACGCAACTCACGTTGCTACTAGCGGCTGGTCGTTTGCTTCATATAAATTTAATCAAACTCGAACTAATTACAAAAAGCTTACAACTCTTAGGAAATAGGCTTCATTGTTAGCGATTAATATATATTTCTCCCCGCGTTCTTACTTGGCCAACCTTGGATTTGGTTTCGGCGGCTTTTTTCTTTTCTTTTTTCCCTTCTTCTGAAAGTACAAAGATTTCAAGCAACTGTTTGCTTAAGAGGTCAAAGAGGAAGACAATTCTAACTCTACGCTTTTTCTTATGTTTTAAAACAGTACAATACGCGTATAAAATAACGCTAGAACGTACATCATCGTATGTTTATGCAAATACTCTTTCTTTCATCATTATTTCAAACATTCCAATGCCCCGACACA